AGGTCTCCTTATTCCAATTTCAATGTTCTTTCCACTATTTCTATCATTTGAGCCTCAGCTTCTTCATCTGCAAAATAATATTTTTTCTATCTACTTCATAGAGTTGTAAGGTAAGCAGCATGTATGTGAAGTGCTGTATAAATACAAGCTGTGACTATTATTAACACAATTTAACCTGGGATAGGGGTGGGACCAGTACTTATATTGGGTGCTCTAAGTGATCTGAAATACTACCACATGGCTGAGAGGAAATGGGGGAACAATTGAGGAGTAATGATAACCCTTAAACAAGGAAGAATTAATCTCTTGGGGAAAAGACCATGCATCCCTGATGTTGAGATGCAGGGAGTGCACCTGCTTAGGTTTTATTCCTCATCCTACTTAGAAATATAGGCCAAGCTACTGACTAAAACGGATTCCAGGACAGAAATTTCCAAACAAAGGAGAAAAGATTACCTGAAGAGACACAATGGTCCTGTTTCTGGTAGCACTTCTATAAAAAGAGGGGCTGAGCCTCAAATAGAGATAGGGAATTCCTGATCTGGAACAGCTGGAATTGTGACTTCTGCTGGAAGACTTGGCCATTGGCTATATCAAAAGAAGATCCTGACATCACGGGTACCAGAGGTTGGGGAATGGCAGTAGGGAATGTCCTGACTCGCTGAAAGGAGAAAGTAGCAGGAGGATCACAGACTCTCAGAGTTGGACAGGACCTCAGCCTTTCTAGCTTTACTTATCTCTGAATAAGAATCCTCTTTATAATATAACTGAAAGGTCATCATCTTGTTTTTGCTTACATGTCTCCAGTTTGGGGATATCCACTGCTTCTGGGGGCAGCCCATTCTACTCTAGGATAGCCCTAATTCTTGGGAAGGAGTTCATTACACATAGCAGAAATTTGCCTCTTTGGACCTTTTCCCTATTGCTCATAGTTCTTCCCTCTGTGGCCAAGTAAGTTAAATCTAATAATCCTCCTATATGCCAACCCTTCAAATGAATCAGAGATCCCTGCAATATGGTAAAAATTTTTTTCTGATACATTGTGGGAATTGTGCTTTCAAAAGAAGTTAGTTGGTGTTAGTCTACTGGGTTGTGCAAGGTATAGTGGTGGCTGGCAGCTTGAGTCAACAGGAGCACCCCAAGTAATAATTTTGATATCATGGGTATTTCTGGTATATGTGTTATATATGTTTCTGATTTTTAAAGTTTTTATTGGCATTTCCAAGTTATCACTTCCCCTTCCCAAATCAGGAAAGCATCTCTTGTAATGAATAAAAAAAGAAAGGAAAACGAAGCAGTTCAGCAAAATTAGCCAACAGATCAACAGAATGTGACAATAAATGTTTCACACTGACAGTCTCTTCAGCTCTGGAAAGAAGGGAAGTTTTGTATTTATTTTTTAATATTTCAATGCCTTTTAAAAACTAACTCTATCCATCACCCAATCAGGAAGATTTTCTGTCATAATAAGCCTCACAAGGAATAATTTATTTGTTTATTCCTTGAGAATGCAAGCATGGATTTTGCAATATTTCTCTGGAATGAGGCAGTTCCCCAAGCCAGACAGGCCTTTTGAATCCTGGCTACACTTTGCTTTGGTATTTTGAATACTGTCTGAAATCTAGCCCATTGAAAGGAGGTGCAGCCCTTCAAATGTTCCCTCCTTGGTAGAATATAGGACACAGCTGCGCAGAAAAGGGTCATGGTAGAAACTCTACATTTCCGTTTGCTTTTCATAAGCTCTCAAAATGCCCATTTCTGACTTTGAACAGAGCTGGTTCAAACAGAGCTGTTCCTACTTTCGTCATTCTTAGAAAGGAAGACATCTTTGAAGTAACTTTTTCAGAACAAACTAGGTTTGACTCCTAAAGACTCAATATTTGTCTCACTTAAGCATCTTTCAATTCAGTTCCCTTTGTTATCAACAATTACTTATTGTATGAACTGATGCAGAATGAAGTAAACAGAACCAGGACAATTTACAGACTTGAGAACTCTGATCAACATGATGACCAACCAAGATTATAGGACCAATGATGAAGCTGCTACCCACCTCCTGACCTAAGCTGAAATTGAAGGACAGGGATCGTTCATCTCTGATTCAGGATGTATAAAGCCTGCTTTGAATATCTTGAATCGGTCACCTATGATTTTTGGGGGGGGTGGCGGGGTGTAGAAGGAGTATATCCCAATGCTGTAAACTGAGCTGAATTTCACTGTGCTGACTGTATCAGGTTTTCAAACACTGCAGTCTCTTAAGTGAGAGCTATATTCACTTAGAGTTTATACTAATTATCCACACAGAAAAAACCAAGTGGATGAAGAATGTCTATCGCCCTGACTACAAGCAACGTTACGGAAAACTTAAGAGCAATTTAAGTTCATCATTTCAGAACTCTGAAAGAAATTGATGGAAATCTGAATTGGAGGGTAGGATACAACCTTAAATTTCTCTCCAAAACAAAGGCTCTTATCTTTTAATGGCACAGTATGCCAAGAACTAAAGTGGTGTTCCACATGTTCTGCTCAGTGTCAAGAGACTTGGCAGCAGGCCTTGAAAACACTAAGTGAACTTGTTTCTGGAGGACTTATGGAAGGACATAGACAGGAGTCACACTGCATATACCATCTACTCCACAGTTACTAAACATCCATCAAAGTACATATACCATCACATTCCTGCGAATATGTAGTGAAAAGGGCACTGGATTTAAAGTTAGATTTTGGTTACAACCCCAGCACTGCTACCTGTCTTTATCTTGGTGAAATCACAAGGTCTCTCTACATCTGTTTCCTTATTTATGTAAGTTTGGGCTATCAGGAATGGGGAACCTGTGGACTTGAGGCCACACGGTACCCTCTAGGTTCTCAAGTGCCTAGTCAAGATGTTGACTGAATCCAAACTTCACAGAACAAATGCCCTCAATAAAAGGATTTGTTCTGTAAAACTTGGACTCAAGGGCTGTACTTGAAGACCTAGAGGGTCGGACGTGTGACGAGGCCACAGGTTCCCCATCCATGGACTAAGTGATAAACCTAAGATAGCCTGCCAATTCTAAACCCTAAGATCCCATGAACCTATTAATGCACTAGCTCTGGGACTGTTCTCTCATCAATGATAGATTAGAGAAACTGAGGATCAGAGAACTTAAATTACTTGTTCAGGAGCACATTCCTTTGAGTGTTTGAGGCAATAATCAGGTGCAGGTCTTCAAGATTCTGAATTGAAGACTGTTCACTCATGTCCCCTAAATCTAAAAAAAGAGGTATTAAACGAGATCATCTAAAGTTTCCTTCAGCTCCAGATCTGATGTCATAATCATTTTGGCTAAACTCTACTGTAAATACCGTTATATGGGAAATAGTATTACACACACACATACACACGTATATGAAATTTGAGATTATTCAAGATAGATTAAATTTAAATTCTGTACTTAGTAATCTTAGAAAATTGTACTGAAACACTGCCATATTTCACAGTTGGACAAAATTTCTGTGACTATCTGGTCCAAGGGTTCAGAGGTCTTGGATAGGGGGAAAAAAACACATCATATTAATATACTTGGTTTTCTTTGTCATCTTATATATTTTATGCATTTAAAAACATTTTTTCTGTGAAGGAGTACATGACACAAAAAAGGTTAAGGACCTAATCCAACCTGTACCCCCAAAAGAATCTCTTCTAAAACACCCTAAAAATGCTTTGCAAATTTAAAATGAAAATATATTAGGGACTTAAAATAATCAGTTCCATACTGGCCCAAATTTCAAATCTAACCTAGGAATGCTTTGCTACCAGAAAGATCATCTTTATGACAAAATCATTCATAAATAATAACACTGGAATATAGCTGTTTAGAAAAATGAGACTTTTAAAAATATGATTCAGGTCATTAAGAATAAAGTCCAGTACTGGACTTCTCTTAAGCAAGTACTAACCTTTTTTACTCTTAAGCAAATTGCTGAGGAGACAGACAACAGGTTTATAAATTATCCTTAACAATTTAATAATGAAATATGAGAAGTCCCATTTCTCCTTTTGGCAGTATCCAGTGACACCAAAATTGCTATTTACTACAAATCATGAGTTCCAGGTCCCAAAATTAAAGAAACAAACAAATGCTGACAGATTAGCTGTGGGACTAACTGCAAAATCCTAATCTGTTTTAGAAAATTAATTTGAAATTAGTAACAAAAAAAAAAAAAAATCAGGTAAGTCTTAAGAATTAGAATGTAACACCCCCACCCCCAACAATCCTAGTTACAGAATCACAGAATTTTAGAGTAGGGATTCCAGTGGCTATCCAGTTCCAATTCATATAAGAATGAATCACCAGTGTATTATACCTGAGTAGTAGTCTAGCCACTTCTGAAATGTATACCTTTCACCTAGAATCTACTATAATTTTCTGTACTAGAGTACTGGACTTAATATTGAATAAATATCTACATCCCATCCCCCCCCCCATTAACTAGGCACTGAGAACAGAGGTTCCTATAAAAAATATTCAAACCATATTCAGAGTGTTTTCTTCAGTTCCAGGCCCCATAAAAAGGTTAGTGAAAGGCTTCAGAATCACGCCAGGAGGATCAGTTGAAAGAATCAGATATAATTTGTATTTAAACATGTTTCCCAGAAAAAGTCAACAAGCATTTATTAAGAATCACCTACGTGCCAGGATACTGTGCTAAGCACTGGAGACAGTAAGGGGGTTGGGGGAAGGAGATAGAGGGAGAAAAAAAAAAAAAAACTCATATCCTTTCAAATCTCATGTTGCAGAATTCTAAAGCTATAACTTTTGTCAGTTCCACAAAGACAGATAGTCCTCCACTAGCCAAGTGTCACCAAATGTAGATAAATGGGTTGCAGTTTGTGCAGACAAAGCAATATTCTGGGGTCAATGAGCTCTAAAGATGAAAAAGATGAAAGTACTCTGCCAGATAATTCATTTGGCCTTTAAAAGAATGGTATGCAATTCTTACAAAGCAAGAGTAAATGGTTTATAAAATGTAATTTTATTTTATGTTACTTTGCTGTTACATAGGGCATAACATTTTCACAAGGCTTTTTTGGGACTACAATCAATGATTAGCAACACACAATAGTGGTCCAAACTTTCTAAGTAACGATCACTGGACAAACGTGACACCCTCTCACATGTGCACAAATCTGCATGGAAAAGTACTAAAAATGTTAGGCCTGGACTCGTGTATTTCCAATGGTTTCCCCCATTCTAGTGTATTAAGAAATGACATGCACTTTAATTTGCCAAAAAGTAACACTTGTATTCTGGTAGTTACATGCTACTTCTATTACATAGTAAAGCGGACACCAGAACTACAAAGGCAGGAGTGTGAGTGAACTTTTATTGAGACAGGGAAACTGTCAAATGAAACAGCAGCCACTGGAGAGTAAGAAAACTTCGTGCTGTCACAGGACGTATTTTACAGTAGGCATATTTCAATTTGTGATCCCTAACTCTAAAATGCCAAACTTGTTTCCATTTGACCCAATACTTCCAGATTTCTCCTTAAAAGGAATATATAAGAAGAGCATGTGAAAGTTGTTTGCTGAAAGGAAAACACTGGAAAAATAAGGTGGTAATATAGGGGGTAGGTGGGGGGAAGCTATGTAAAACACTTGAGTTGTATTTAACTACATTTTCATATCTTCACTGTAATACAAAACACAGTCACTTGCAGAACTGGTTCAGATTTTTAAATACCAGATACACTTTAGTCCTCATAAGTGTTTTGGAAGTTACTTATGTTTATATGAAATGAAGCTATTAATACTTTTCTACAGCAGTAACCGCACACCAGGAAGGCCAGGACAAACACAAATCAAGGAATGGAGTTTTCCCAAAGCTGCAGTGTGAAAAGACTATAAACGATTGATTTCCATACACATGGATGGGTTTTCTTTGCTATAGGAAATCCAAGTGGAGCTATAAGGAATGGAGACGTGTAAAAAGGTTTCTTGAGAGAGAGGAAGATGATACCCTGTATGAATTTTAATTTTCTGCACCTTCTGCAGCATCACATTCTTCTCCTGCACTGTCTGATGTCCATAACTAGAAAGAAAAAAACCACATGTGGTTGTTATTTCTAGATACATTCAATTATCATGCCAAGTCTCTTATCCAAATAAATATTATAGATTTGGTGATAAGTTATCTCACTAAACATGTTCTTAAATGATTTTAATATAAACTTCCTTGTATGGTACTATGCGAACATCTAAAAAGTATTAATCTTTTGGCTTAAAAGTTATGCTCAACTATAAAACATGCAATCACAGAATATGGTATCCTTTGAAACTTAATATTCTTATCCAGTTAACCAACTTGATCCTTTTGCTTTAGAAATAATTACGTGAAGAAAATTTAATTAGGGTAAACAGAAAATTTTAAAATGCTAAAACTAGCCACTAGTGTTACAGCTGTGTTCAAACAGTTGAAGAGCTGTTGTGTTATATACAAGAGGATGTAGTCTTGTTTTGTGCTGTGCCAGAGAACTAAAATCAGCAGTGGGGGCACAGTGAAAAAAAAAAAATTCTCTTTTACATAAGAACAAAGTAGTGAGCTCCTTGCCTCTTGACATGACCAAGTGAAAACTTAATGACCATTATATCAAGGATGACTATACAGAACAGATCCTTACATGGGAGTGCCAGGAAGAGGGATGATGATCATCTGTAAGATGTTTCTAACTAACATTAAATATATTTTTTAAAAAAATATAACTTAGATTTCATAGTTGTTTTATGCGATGCACCTAAATATCTCTTGTAAGCTCTGGATATGTCTTGGGGACATGTTAACCACTACAGTAAGTTGGGAGGAACAGAAGAGTTCACTATAACAGAGCTAGTTCACTATAAAGCAAGCTTTCCCCAATTCTGAGGGCTTCTACCCAACTACCTTCAAAACACACATAGGTAGGGTCCATCATCTTTAAAACATTTATAGGTCTACACTATCGTAGTTCTTCTGTTTCCCTTTCTCTTGCTCTTTTAGTCATAGAAATTTTCCAAGGCTCAGTCCTGGGCTGTTTTCTCTTCACACTTTGTAGCATAATTTAATCATTTCTTTTTTATGTAACATCATTGTTTCATGTAACTGTCTCCTCAAACTGACTAATTAATTAGCCCCCTAAAGGGAAAAACCAAGTCTTATACTTACCTCTGTATTCCCCAGAACCACCAGCATTAGGGCAAACACTTAAAGAGTTAATCAGTTTACCAAATGACTATTACCATTCAATGCAATTAACATTTATGAAGAACTATGTGCAAAGCACTTATACGTGTATGTGCACACATGTACGTGTTAATGTTGATAAATCACATTTTTTCCCACCTCTTGGCAGAGAGGTGATGGACTAGATAGAGGTATAGAATGAGACATGCATTTTCAGACATAGCCAATGTGTGGATGTGTTCTGCCTGATAATACTTAATTGTTACAAAGGAGGGTTTTTTTGGGGGGGGAGAAGGGGTGCTAGGGAGATGGGGAATAACAAAAATAAAAGATAGTGAAACAAGCAAAAAGACAAGAATATCAATGAAAAGCATTTTTAAAGAATCAGAAGAAAGCAGAAAAAAATTTAAAAAGGGAACATAAATAATCAGGGCAGTTTAGTACTCCATATTAAATTTACACTTTAGACTAAGAATCAAAGTTTTTTATACAATTCTCTTTGCTTTTTTGTTTATGAAAATGTTTACTGGTGTTTCAATTTGACAAACAAACAAAAAAAGACTGTATTCTGACCCAGGGCACATTAAGGATGTAGCGGTTATGTTTATTAGGAATAATAATCTTCACTAACTTCATTTTTACCTTGTAACAGCTTTTGACAGATTTTCTCTCTGCTGGCACTTCCTTCCTAAATAATTATAGCTATCTCTAATATTTGGAGAATAATGACTATATTGCCAATTTCCCTGCTTATCCTTCCCACTTTATCAAATTGAACAGGCTTATTGATGAAATGTGACAAATGTTATTTTACTCAAGTACTGTTACTTAATGTATTGTAATCATGTGCGATTACTCAGAGCCTGAAAAAATTTCTCCAATCTTAGGCTTTGGGTCACACAAAACAAATTGGTTCTATACTTTATTTCTAGGTTATTCTCTAGGTTTTAAATACCACATATCAAAAGTTAATTTTAAAGTTTTAAGATAAAGAATCTTCTATTACTGAAGTTAACTAGCTATATAAAGCTTGAGATGGTATGTCAAATGTTTTTAAGCATATCATTTATTACAGGATCTATAAGACTCCAAGATAACTTTCATCTCCAACTATCTGTCACCTTCATACTTTGCTTCTAATTAGCAAGGGACAGATTTGAAAAGTGACACACAGAAAAACAAGAGGAGGTTTTGGTTTAAGTGGGAAAAGGAGTAGAAACAATTTAGCAGCAACATTAGCTTATACCCCAATTGCATGTTCTTATTTAATCAAAAATAACTGTATAATCAATTTCATCAAGGCTGGAAGATCTACCTATATTTTATTAGATTGTCCCTTCAAAACCACATAAACATCCTATAATTTATATTATTTATACTTTGACCCGGAACACTGATGTATAAAACTGCAACCTTAATTGTAAAATCCCCTATGTTCTCAATTTACACTCTACCTCTTCCAACCCCTTCCCCCTCCATAACTGAATAATTTTCTGTCTTGCTAACAAGTTCCCATTCTCTTTGTTTCAAAGTCAGCCTAGAAGAATATAGACAAAATTATATGGAGGATAAGGACTAGACCTATGATTTCACTGGTATAAAGAACTCTCAGATGAAGGAACTCCCTCTATTGATACAAGCCTTCATCCTCTCTGCAACTCAGATATAGTCTTGAGAGAGTTGTATGGGGGTTGAAAAGTTAACCAACTTGCCCATGGTCACAGAGCCAATATGTACCAGAGGCAGACCTTATGAAACAAGGTCCCAGCTCTCTATGTACTATACCACATTGTTCCTCAAGTGCTCAATACCATGAGAATATAGCCCCCTATAGCAATGTTACAGACAAGATCCTAAAATTAGTAATTAGTTAATATTTATCAAGTTTAGAGGTATCTTTAACACCAACCCAGAGATATCACTGAGGAAAGAATTTCAATAATCTTACCCTAGAATAAATTCTTGTAGGAGGGAGATAACTTTACTTCTATTTAAACTGAAGTAAAATATGCAATACTCAAGATTCAGTTCACTCCTCCCACCCCAGTTAGTTGCTTATATTCTAGTTCTACCATTTTCCCCCAAAGCTAACCTACCTACCTATATCAGCCTCCAAAACTATGAAAGGGATCAAGTTTTTCTTAATATTTTTATTTTGGATATGGAAGGTAAGCAACATAAAAAAACAACTTACTGTTAGGTTGTCTCTAAGCAACTGCATGATAAGGGTACTGTCTTTGTAGGAGTCTTCGTTCAGTGTATCAAGTTCTGCAATAGCCTCATCAAAAGCCTGATAAAAAACATATAGTCAGTAAACTAAAAAAACATAGTCAGTAAACATTTGTACTTATGAAGATAAGCAAGATAAGCTGTAAATTTCATAGATGTCTTTATTTTAAAATACTGCTAATGTATATGAAAGTTAAGACTATTCTTTGAGACTATGACCAATACTGAACTCATTGAGTTTGACTTGTAGTTCTATAACTATACTGTTTCTTCTACAATTCAGAAACAAGTATTTCTTATTACTTCTAGAGGTTATACTACATTATATCACTTTATTAGCCCATTTTGGACCAATGTGAACCATTTCAGTCACTAATGACCAGTCAACTTCCTCTTACTCAGGAGACAACTTACTAATAAAACAAAAGTATTAGAGAAATTACTTCAAGATTTTAAAATGCAAATCTAGAAAAACAATTTCTTTCAGAGATAAGGGGAAGAGAAAATGGAAGGAAGTGAAAGCCATTAAAGCATTTCTACAAAACATCTGAAATTAACTTTTATGAACGTTTCAACATGTCAACAATTTCTGAATAAACACCTTACCGTTTTAGCCAATGTGCAGGCAAGCTCTGGGTTATTAAGTATCTCGTAGTAAAATACAGAAAAGTTAAGAGCTAGCCCCAGGCGAATTGGATGTGTAGGTTGCATCTCTTTCTTGCTGATGTCAAATGCTTCTTGATAAGCTCCTTGGGAATTATCTATTGTTTCTGTAAAGGGGGAGGAAAAAAAAGTAAAAGACTGAAAATTCCTACCCAGGTTATTTAGCATCTTCTGACACATAAGCTTTTAAAATTTTGGTGGAAGGAACCTTTCTCTTAGTAGATATACTATTCTAGTTTTCATTTAAAACTATAATCTTTATTCAACAATATAGTAGAAATAATAAAAATTAATCCAATTAGCATTTATTATATATGAAGATCAGCTTGGTCCTTGTTTGGTTTAGCTTCATGAAAGGTAGAAAAAAAAATTAAGATTTAAATTACAATGATCCTCTTGGGTCCTACAGGTCTTCAGTTTTAGAAAGGGCCATTTAAAGGTTCATCACAAGGTTAGCTACAGGGTATGAAACAAACCCTGTAATCTGTATGGTGGAAAGAATATGATGCCTGACCTATGATGCTCGAACTTGCAGTATTCAGAAGGAGAAGGAAGAGAAAGTTCGTTATTTTTTCCTCACAGACTCCATAATCCATCACTACACATTTTGTGCCTTTCTCACCTGATCCTTCCCCATTAATTGGGGCACTGCAGAGTCTAGATCTTTGCCTGAATATTCCCTACAAGTCCCAGTTCTAACTAACTGCAAGTTGCTTTAAGAGGATCAAGGACATCTCAAACCAAGCATGCTTACGTTTTCGGTCATCGCCACATGCTACTTCAGCAAGGTACCGGAAGTAGTCTCCCTTCATTTTCAGATAGAAGACTTTGCTCTCTGGATTAGTCGCATTGGCTATTAAAAACTTATCCAACAATTCCTGAAAGAAAAATGTCATACCAATATAGCTAGATATCACTACAGGTTATTTATTTGAATGCAAAAATTTATGATGATACATGTTTCTGTGTGCTGTATATTTTACTTCTTAACTGAACAGTGATATTACACCAATCACTATACAGCAAATCTTTGGAAGGCAGGGATCAGCTTGCTTTTGCTTTTACTTTAACTTTATTCTCCTGGTAATCTTTGTACTAATTTGCCTGTGGCAAACATCATCTGGTTCCAAAGTCAACATTATAACATATTACACTATCTGGAAGTTAGAATTATTAATTTAGTTCAAAACACCCTCCTGATAGATCCAGAACAGAGGAAAATAGGTAGGAAAGTACAGAAAGTTAACACATTCTATGAAATAGCAAGAGATGCCCCTCTTTTTTTTTTTGAGGGGGTGGAGGAGGGGAAGGGTTGGTTAAAAAAACCATACAAATGAAACTCCAAAGTCTCTAGACAAAGCCTTTAAAAAAATTTAATCATCCTTAAAGTCAAAAGTATTTGAAGTTGAGTAATGCTCTAAGCAAGAGAGATAGTAAAAACAATGGTATATCACAGCTAGGGTCTGCACAGGATAACCAGATCAAAATTGATACAAAGTGCTACTCAAGCGAATTGCTTTGTACTCTTATCATGAATTCTGACGAGAAAAGTAAACTTGCAGCAGTCTCTGGAGAGACAAAGCTACTACTCTTGGCCTTAACTAGTAATTAAAGTCCAGATCCAGGCTGACAAGACTTCTAGGTACAACTTAAGAGTTACCTCTGAAGTGTTAGACATGATGACTGAGTAGTACCAAAGGCTATTCCAATATGTTTTAAGATTATGGTAGTTTCATATTACCCTCTCTTGTTGTAGACACTAAAAAAGTGTACCTATGCATTTGTAGATTTCTACCCCACTCTTCCATGTCTTCAATAATTATATCAAAGAGAGCCACTAACACACAATCAAGCAGAAACAAATGAGTTCCAGAAATATGCTATTGTAACTCATCCACAAACTTGCAAATTCTAGAAATAGTAAAGAACAGGACAATTCCCACATGATAAACTTTATAAAAATAAAGTTTCTTGACAAGATTTCAAAGAGAAAGACAAAAATAATTAGCTCTTTGGGACTGTGCCAGAATTTGACCTACAGTAGTCAGATGCAATAGACATTTATGGAGTACAACTCAGGTTAAGAACATAATAAAAATTCATTATTCCACTACCGTTAATTTGGCATTTATTTATAAAAGGGCTTATACATACAAAGAAGATATATGTATAATAGTGAAGAGAAAAGGAAATATTTTAATTACTTAAAAATTGCTCAAACATTCAAGAGTTAGAGAAATCATATACTAATTATAAATAATCCTCAGTAAGCAAGAAACTTGCTTACTAACAACTTCTATCCCACAAACTTAATACCATAAATTTGTAATAGTTAAAAGTACAAAGCTATACAAATGATATCATTTGAGTCTCATAAAAAAAGTGTCAACCTAAAAAGCAGATAGAATGCCTTCTTTTCAGTTAAAAAGACCTGGGTTCAACTCCTACGTGAGACTTACTAGCTTTGTAACTGGGTAAATTATTTCACTTTTCTGTGCTTCAGCAACTCAGATTTATCTACTAAGTTGGCTGCTGTAAAACTTTTTGGTCTCATGATCTCTTTACACTCTTAAGGACCCCTCAAAGAGCTTTTGCTTATGCGGATTATATCTATTTATATGTACCATAAGAGAAATTTAAAACTTCTCACTATTATTATGAAAATAGTTTTGATCTCATGAATCCCCTAAAAGAGGTTCTATGCAGACTTTGAGAACAGATCCACTAAATTACAAACATGAGTGCCTTAAACTGGTAGAGGGAATTTCCATCTCTGAACATCCAATGTGCTAAGGCAGTCAATACAATGAATTTCTTTGATAAGATGAGGAAACAAGCTAAGGGGTTAAATGATTTGCCAAAAAGTCTTGAAGCAAGCTCACTGAAAAACCATGACCAGGTTCTAATCGCCTGAATCCTAATCTTTCAAGGTAAAATACTTCAAAATAACAAGCCTGTAATTATTTAAAAAATTAGTGTTACCTCTTCATAATCTGAATTCATGACATTTTAATATTGCAGTACTAACTGAAAACTGAAAAACTTACTTCTATGATACCATCAGTATCTTTGGCACCTATGAAGGGCTTTATAAATCTTAAGTTACCTTGGTTCACTAGAGATACCAACATACTAAGTAGTGATAAAGCTTTGAGTACTCTCATAATAATGTAACTTTAGTAGATCTGTTTGTTGGAAACCACTAAAGCAGAAACTTGTGCTGCTGTTTTTAAATCAGGAATTATAATGCAACACCTGACAAGCACTAATCATGTGATAATCTAGAATCAAATGTATATTATTACAAGCCCATTTAGCTAAAGAAGCCTGCATATTCTGATATTTTCTGGCAAAAAAAAGTTTTAAAATACCTAAATTAGCTAGCACATATGAACTAGTAGACCAACACAGCGTAACCACCTGAAATTCCTGGCTATATTATGGTCAAACTCTAGGCAATGTTTCAACCCAGTTGGTAACATAAAAATATATTCTTTTCATTTATGAATTGCAGAAGATTAAAGGTGAGAGCAACCATTACAGATGTAAATCTAAAGTTGGATTTTGATATGTATGCTTTAACCTGCATTACATCTTGAGAATAATTCAATTAAATACCAGTTCTTGTGAGACTCAACAAAAACTATCAATGAATCATTTTATTTTGTGTAAACAATAAAAAACAAAATAAAATTATAAATTCACAGTATTTTGCATAAAGTTGATTAAACTTGTTTTTGCATTACTGCCTTAATAACAGCTAGCAGGCAAAATGTTTAAACACTGTTTAAAAGGTATAAAGCCTGATATGAACGTATTATCATGTGATCTACTACTTGGAAAGAACACACCCTTAAAATGTCAGATGTCATAAATTAAGCACTTTTGGGGCAGCTAGGTGGCGCAGTGGATAGAACACCTGCGCGGAAGTCAGGAAGACCTGAGTTCAAATCTGATCTCAGACCAAACACTTGACACTACCAGCTGTGTGACCCTGGGCAAGTCACTTAACCCCAACTGCCTACAAGCAAATAAATAAATAAATAAATAAAGCACTTTGGATTCATTGTTAATCAAATTGTTAAATTATCAAAACAAAGAAATTCGGTGTTGAAGGTTAAAACTTAAGTGTTTGGTTTTTTTTCTTTTACTTTATTTCATGTAGTTAGTTGATACTATTGTCCTTTGCTTCTTCAAAAAGGATAACATTCAAATTAATTGGAAGAAAATTATTAGATACACACATACTTAACGCTTATTTTTAGAACTCCATGAAAAAAAATTCAAAACATTTAAACAGAAGAACTCAAGAAAGCATCAGCAGATGTATATACTGAAATGGGAATGTCCCTCTAAAAGATTCTACCAGCTGAAACCTGGATAAAAAAATTAAGCTGAAATATTAAATCACCAGAAGTTAACTGCGTGGGCAGGGTTAGATGACATCAGGGACCATGAAAAGCCAAACCCAGCCACTAGGGGGAAATGTCAGCAACTTCAGAGTTCTCATTTGGTAGTTACCACACAATAATTACAGTATTAGAACTATTATCTTATGATCTATGAGTTTGGTTTATTATAAAATTAACAATGTCCACTGGACAAAAGTGTTAAGGAATAATTTCTAGCACTGTATATTATCAACACAGTCTTAGTCATTTGGAAAATAATTCATCTTTTCCATAATCCAAATTATTTTCACAAATTCAATTTTTAATTTTTCTCTTCTATAGTTTTACTTTCACTAATCAATGATGACAATTAGCCTAGAGTTAGAGATTAACACTATAACTTAATTTTCAGTTTTGTTTCAGAACTTCTTTCATATTCTTATTAGCCAACATAAATGACAGCCAGAAAAGATTTTATCAAGTAGACTTCCCTGCAAAAATGCTCACCACTAAATACAGGTGTGCACACACATGCTCACATATTTCAAAAAAGCTTTTGATCAGGAATTTGTTTTACAGCTTTATACTTTTAAGGTACCATGTTAGGAGGAAGGAGGCGGTGATTGTGGGGATTAAAAGATGAGAAATAATATCTTAGACTGGCATAGAAAAAGAAGATATATAATATTTTTGCTCTTCCTTCCCCTACCCCCCAATCATTTTATACTTCTGGGGGATCTATGCTACTGCTTATTCCTCTGCCTTCTGTAGGTTCTAATGATATGTGCAATAGCTACTTCGTTAGTAACTACTAGGCCACAAAGTGCCAAATAAAGATTTTCCTTCTAAAAATATTAACTTTCACTACTAGTTTGCATATAGCTGTTACGTACGATTTACAGTGTTGGACTTTTATAAAGTGACTTGTGCATTACTTCCATCCTGGAGTTTCAGCCAGGTATCATGGTTCTTTGTCAGATGCCACTAGCTCTCTGTGAAGGAAACAACAGGTACAGAATAATTCTTCTGTCTCTCTATATGCTATCAACAGCAGAGATTTACATACTAGCCCAATTAAAGAAAACCACAAAAACAATTATGCGTTCTACTTAATGGCTCACTAATGTGATCAAAGTGTGGTAGCAGGTAATAGTAGTTACATAGGATATAGCTACTTCAGTTCTATAACCTCAGAATTAAGCTTTTAAAAATTATTAAAAAACATGTCATATATAAAGTGGGCAAGTAACTCCTTGATTAAGAAAAACCCTCCAGATAAAAGAGTCAATTAAAAGCCTGTACAAAGAGTATCTGATTTGGCATTTTTATTTGCCACAGGCCTTCCCTAGACTTAGTCAAAAATTTGGCATATGGGTCCATATCCCCCAAATTTCAAATATAGCACATTCTTATAAACTACACAGTAGCTCTTCCTTGAAAACTTCTTCAGCCAATACATTTCACTAATGTTTTACGGCTCAGAGGAC